ACAACAGTATGCCTCCAGCTCTCCTACCCTGAAAGTTTTTGCCGCACTATGCATTTTTGGCAAGATCTGTAGCTACTTGTAAGCGTATACCTTTGTTTGAAAACAAGCATTTACGGGCCACTGCTTTTCTTCAGCGTGGTTGAACAATTCCTGTGTTACTTCGCAATGGTTATCAACACTCCTTTTCAGACCATACATTCTGTGATATTTATCGGGCTATCTTTGTCATTTTACAGGATGCGCTGAGATCCCTGGCTCAAATTTCTGGCAGCGCAAACATCTGTAACCTTTTTCTTTCACTACTTAAAAAATGTGGTTTGGAAGATACTCCATCGACACCAGAGAATCTAGAATGTGAAGCAAATGAGGTAGATGGAAAGGGCGAAGAGAATACTGATTCAACAGTGGAGATAAATAATAAGAGGTTTGCTATTTATCCTTAGTTCCTTACCCATCTATAAGGTCTGATCTTTTTAGCCTAGGTTAAGCATTCTGTAGAAAAAACACAAAGTAAGTGAAAACCAAAATATCAGGTTCTCAGCAGTGTCAGAACTTTCTACCATGTAAATAGGTACCTACAAGCCATAATTTTATAAGGAAATCAATGTTGTTAATCTGTAACCTACCAGGGCGATCCTCCCATCCAGTTAAAAAATATTATGACGCCGTTCTCCAAAAAAAGAAAAAACTCATGGAACAATCATGACATCGAAACTAGGATTTTTTTTGGGTGTTTTACCACATAGTATATAGGAAGTTTCTTATGTGATTATATGCATCATCATGTATTCATGTGTGGTTACTATGTGGTAGCCAACACATAAATGCATCCCATCCGGAAGCTTGTTGTGCATGATATATGATTATGATTTTGCTTGTGCAGGTCACTTCTGATGGAACTCATTTCAACACTAGCTGAAGCTGCTGATGAGGATGTTCTTGATTTGTTTTTTGGATTCATCAAATCTTCTTTACTGGTATCCTTGCTAATCTCTGCTCTTATTATGCCCCAATGTCCAACTGTTAGTAGGGAGTTCATTGTTCATATTACCAATCTTTTCTCCTCAGGATAGCAGCAAGTCATGTGAGAGCAAAGCTCTCTTCGCATTAAGCACAATTTTGAAGGTCAGCATGAGTTCATCATATGCAACTTTCAGATTTGAGATGTATTTGTTCGCCTTTAACCCCTTCCTTTACTTTCAGGAACACCATGAATATTCGTTAGCCCAGTTGGATGAAATAATGATGCTTCTTCATGGAATAAAGCCAGATTCTAACAATGCAGTTTTAGAAGGTCAATTAGTATGCTACAAGTATCTGTTGGTTCACATGATTAAGGTATGGCTGTTGCACTTATAAAAAATGCAACCACAAATCTTTGAGCAGTGAGCACCATAAGAGCACAAATACTTGTTAATTAGAGGTGCACCCTTCATCTATTAATGTTCCATTGCACATAATAACACAACGTCTTAGTTTTGCAAAGTGGATATTATTGACCTTGGTTCACAGCGGGACAAATTGTCTAGGATAAAAGGCCGAAACACTGAGAATAAGGCAAATATAGCGGCAGGGTTCATCCCTGACGTATAAGAGAGGCTCTGAGACCGACCTTTTGTAATCTACAAGGCTTCCTTGTCCATCTTCGCCACGTTCACCTATCCTGCTGCCACTACTACTAGTTGTATCTTCTGTAATACTAGTCATACCCAAGTAGCTAGCAGGCTAACTCATCCAATGGCCATAACATTGGATGCACCTTCTACCAAGAGAGCATCAAACATTGGCATGATGTTCTTTGACTGCAGTACTGCATGCATGTTTTCTTGTGTTACTTTAGTCTAGTTCTATGCTTCATCCATCCTGCTTGCTGAATCATGTGCCATGGTTTTTACTTAACTTCTACCATTCTGAAGGTTAATGAAGAGAGCACAAGCAAGAAGGCATTCTTGATTCTAAATGAGTTGATACTTGCATTGAAGGTGTGTTACCCTACCCTCATATTTTGATCAATTATCAGTTGTGTATTAGGTTGCTAACATCATGTCATACATATGACATCACCATTTATACAAGGATAAATTTATACCGACTAAAAGCAAGGCCATGAAAAAGCTCACGTGATAAGATTCTTTCTTCATCTTCTGCCATTGACTGCTTTGGTTCATTCCCACTGTTTTCTTTTAAATGCAGTCTAAGAAGGAAAGTAGAAGACTAGCATACGATGTACTCCTGGCTATTAGTACTAGCTTGAGGAATTCTGAATTGAATAACGGAGATTCAGATCTTCAACGGCTATTCACAATGGTTAGCTAACGAACTTCTTCTCTGCTCTTGAGATATTTTTCCTATGTTTCTTTGATGCACAGAAGTATGGTGCCACCATGTTTGAGGAGACAATTATTTCTTGTTTCCTGTTCCTAACCACTGTAGCTTAAATGTTTGTTTCGCCTTTCATGAAAGAAATCTAGCAACCTGTTCTCTCCATTTATACCAATAATGATAGTATTATGAATTACTGCACCCATTAAGTCCTTTCATAGATTATAAATTTACTGATGCTTTGTGCATGAAGTCTATGCAAGAACAATTCTTGTGGAAAATGTTAAACTAAGTTGTAGTTTTGCAGCATTGATACCTGAAAGCATACAGTCTATAAGATATCTAGTCTGTTTTTGAGCAGAGCAATCTTGTTGCTCTGAGAACATCGCGATGATGTTGGACCATTGCCGTGATGTTTTGTAAATGGTTAACCTGCATACCCAAGTAGAGATCTATCATACCTATATGGTTTCTTAGATTCAGTAGTTATTTTATGAAAGTCTGCTTTATGTAAAGTTGTAAGTAAGCAATATAGTTCCACATGGCAGGAACATTAGTCTGTTCTCATATGCAGGATTTCCATTGTTGAAACATTGAAAAACATCAATTTCGTTAACTTTCAGGTGATGGGATATCTTTCTAGTCCGTCTCCTCACATAGTGAGCGGAGCAATAGCTGCATTATCATTGCTTATATACACTGACGCTGACTTCTGCGTGGAAGTTCCAAATTTGATACCATCAGTCCTAGTTCTGCTGCAAAATAAAGCTATTGAAGTAATTAAGGTGGGTTCTGTGTCTTCTGTCTTCCCTGTTGGTTGTTTTCAGTTTTCTTGTCATCTAAGAGTCTGATTTGTTTTATTATATAAAAATCTAGGCATCTCTGGGGTTTGTTAAGGTGTTGGTAACATCTTTGCAATCAGAAAAACTGTTGGGTTTGCAAGCAGATATCATGACTGGCATATTACCAATGTCATCTGTTACAAAGCACCATTTCAAAGGGAAGGTTAGTTGGTGCAATTGTTCCATGGTTCACTTTCCATCCATTTGTATGTTCTGTATGGTGCGCTTAACAAGATGTGTTTTGATATTTTTATGCAGGTTATACTAATAGTGGAAATATTGATCAGAAAATGTGGATTTGATGCTATTGACTTAGTTACACCTGAAAAGTACAAGGAGTTTGTTAGAAGTGTTGAAGAGGTGAGATTCCCTTAACTAGTTTTTTTTTCTTAATTTTGCTTTAGAAGAGTGATCTATACGTTTTCTAAATTTACCACTAAGCCTGTAATGGTTTTGGCCAAGCTACATTCAGCCTGTGATTGATCCATATCCACCAATTTTGGGTTAATTTATCAAATGTAAATGTTTAGTGAGAATCAATTCCCTCATAATCTTCATAAGTTCATCATATAACTCACACTAGTTATTCAGTACAAAGATGCCGAGCTCTTGTTTGAATTGTTACTTTTCCCCCCTTGATAAAAACGTTAATTTTGCAGGGCCGCAAGGGGAATAATAATAATCCAGCAGATGGTGCACAGTCCGAGGCAAAAGATCCCGAGCATCATGCTCCAAAGAGGTAAAGCCACCTCCAGCCCCTCCTTTCTCGTCTTCACAACCCGTTGCTTACACCATTTGGCGTGTGTGTACAGAGGAAAATGGGCCGATTCTAATGCGGAGCCTTTGCAAGACGAAGTGTCAACCGGAAAGAAGGAATTCTTCGTCAAAGGGGCAGGGAAGCCTCACTTCCGGGGCGGTAGAGGTAGAGGTAGAGGCAGAGGCCAGCAGCACGGCAGAGCATCAGGCGACAGAGGTAGTTTCAGATCCAGATCCGAAGCGCAATCAGGAGACGGCCAGAGCAGCAGAGGCGGCAGGCCACGGGGTCGCGGCGGGTTCAACAGGACGCGAGGCCGCGGCGGTGGGATGGGGCCGTCCAGCCACTCCCCTAGATTCAAGAAGCCCAGAACCGCGGCGGCATCGTGAGAGATGAGATGAAGCCGCTCGCCATCGTCCTGAAGGCCATGGATTCTTTGCCTCCGGTGCTAAAAGAGTTTCTCAGACCTGCCAGACACCCCATGGGGCAGTGTTCGGGCCAAGCTCCATGGGGGCCGAGGTTTCTGAGCCCCGTTTCCAAGACCCGTGCAAAGTTAGGCAGAGTAGATTGACAGCGCCGCTTTGTGCGGTGAAATTTTTTGCCTGGTGTAAACTTGTGTAACGAGCTGTAGGATTTGAACGCCAAACACTATTGCTTGCTTCCTCGTGTTTTCTTTTTTTTTGCGTTGGAAAGGGGATGCTCCAGCTGCTTATGCTTGGAAGAATCGCTGAGATATTTTGGGGCTGGTTGTTTTGTTCATTGGCTCGCCTTCCGAAGAAATCCGCGTTTGCTCTTCAGTTTCATAAAAATCCGAGGGTGCATTGGTCGGTTTTTTGGCGTCACCACCGTGACAGTGCTTTCCATCCTAGAAGGGGAGCCTTTTCTTTTTGGATACGGATACGGATGACGCACCGCCGCGCAGGGAGGCCGAGGGCTCGCTTCAAGTGCCCGCGCGGGCTCCCGGCCCATGAACCTACCTCGCGCCCGGCCCTTCTCCTCTCCCCCCTCTCTCTCGTCTCCGAGCCAGATTCCGGCGACCCTAGCAGCGGCGGCGGCGGCGTCTCCGTGTCCGGCGGGCGGCCATGGCGGTGGCGGCGCCGGGGCAGCTGAACCTCGACGAGTTCCCCTCCTGGGGCTCCCGCGGCGTCGACTGCTTCGAGAAGCTCGAGCAGATCGGCGAGGGCACCTACGGGTCCGTACCTCCTACCCTACTCCCCCCTCCCCTCTCGCTACCAATTCGCTCGTCGCCGGATCTGGAGCCTGACCCCTCTCTCTCTCTCTCTCTCTCCGTCGCCGCCGCCAGGCAGGTGTACATGGCCAAGGAGACGGAGACCAACGAGATCGTCGCGCTCAAGAAGATCCGCATGGACAACGAGCGCGAGGGCGTAAGATTTCTCTTCCCCTCCTCTTTCTTCTCCCCTCCGATGGTGGTGCCAGCTCCGGCGCGTGTATTTGTGCCTGACGCTTTTGGTTCCTTTGCAGTTCCCCATCACGGCGATACGCGAGATCAAGATCCTCAAGAAGCTGCACCACCAGAACGTCATCCAGCTCAAGGAGATCGTCACCTCCCCAGGTACTTTGCGCTGAATCAATCCCAAACTCATCCCCTCAATTGAACCATATATATATGTGTGTAGTCTATTCTCTCAACTGACGGAGGAATTCGCAGGCCCGGATCGAGACGAGCAAGGGAAGCCAAGTACGGCCCGATTTCCACCATTCTCGCTTGCAATTCTAGCGCCTCCTTTGGCTTTGCTTTGCTTTGCTTGGGGGTGGGTGCTGCTTATGCTTCTAGCTGTAAGGTTGTGACGCCTGTCTGACACCTTGTCGTGTTGTTGTTGCACAAAATAGTCGACGGTAACAAGTATAAGGGGAGCATCTACATGGTCTTCGAGTACATGGACCACGACCTCACCGGGCTCGCCGACAGGCCCGGGATGCGCTTCACCGTGCCGCAGATCAAGGTAGAATAGAACCACGGCCTATTCTCATGGCTTCTCTATTTTTCCCTTCGATGCAAATGAGGTTTTAATATTTGTTTGTGGATTGATCTCATCTTGTGTGTCGCGATCTTGTCTTGGTCCAGTGCTACATGAAGCAGCTGCTCACGGGCCTGCACTACTGCCACGTCAATCAGGTGCTGCATCGAGATATCAAAGGTATCATATATATTTGAGAGAATTCCTTATTTAACACTGTCTTAAATTTTAGTTCCCTATTTGACACTGTAAAAAAATTTCTTCCCTATCTAACATCGAGTCTAAAATTTATGCCCTTTATGACACTTTCATCCATTTTTCCATCTAACGCTGTTAAATTGCACATAAAAAGACACTTACGCCCCTCATGTGGTATGTGACCAAAATTTTAGTAATATTGAAGAAAAAAAAAGACATGACCAGCTCGCCTGACCCTGCAGCCGTTCCCGCGGCTACGTAGCTGACTAGCATGCAACACCAGTCCCATAACACACGCACACAAAGGGACTTACCAACCAGGCTCTGGTAAAAGTAAAGACCATATATTCAGAAGCATCAAAAACTGTAACTGATGCCAATACATATTGCTTTCTCGACTCAGTAAAACGACGCCTATATTCTATATCCATTTCTGTTCCTCGACGCAAGATAGGTAGTAGTATCAAGCAGATGAAAAGACAGACTTTGGTGTAACAAATTAAGTGTGTGTAGAATTATCTTCTGAAGATATTCAGACTGTTGGCGCCGCCCAGCATTATGTTCATGTTTGAAGCCCTTGCTGTTCCTTGGATAGGAGATGGATTCTCCTCCGACGAACGGTAATGGCGCGTTGCTGCCACCGTGCCGTGCCATGGCCCCGTTGGCCGCCGTGTAGACCAACCAGCCGGTATAGGGCACAACGTAGGTGACCCTGCTGGCCCCCGTGCGCCGTCCCGGCTGCCAAACCCGCAGCTCCCAGCCGTCGCGTGCCTGCCGTGCCACAGCTCCTACTCACGCCGCAGCGACTTGTGGACCATCGGGGGATGTATTCGGGGAGCTTAGCGACTTGTCAAATATTACTGGAGGGGCAAAGGTGTCTTTTTACGTGCAATTTAACAGTGTTATACACAAAAATGGACGGAAGTGTTATAAAGGGCATAAAATTTAGACTTAGTGTTAGACAGGAAAGAAAAAAATTCTTGGTGTCAAATAGGGAAATGAAATTTAAAATAGTGTTAAATAAGGAATTCTTTCTATATATTTTGACATCACAACCGGAGTTTTTCGTAAAGTTTGCGAGGTACCTTGTTGGCTGTTGCTGAGATAATATGTTGATGCTTCCTTGCAGGTTCGAACCTTTTGATAGACAATGAGGGTAACCTCAAGCTTGCTGATTTTGGGCTTGCGAGGTCATTCTCCAGTGACCACAATGGCAACCTGACTAACCGTGTCATCACATTATGGTATAGGTATGGCACTAGAACTTCTGCCCACATAGTCGTCGTCACGATTGCATTCGTTTATGCATGCCTCGTTTGTTGCCTTTTATTTTACTACTCATTGTTTTTGTTGGATTTTTTGTGCAGACCTCCAGAATTGCTTCTTGGAAGCACAAGGTATGGTCCAGCTGTTGACATGTGGTCTGTGGGCTGTATTTTTGCCGAGCTTCTTAATGGAAAGCCAATCCTGCCAGGAAAGAATGAGGTATACTTTTATGAGTTATGAGGCTTTCAGCCATCAAGTGTATAATCTAAGCATTTGATGTGATTTAAGCCCCCTTTTTACACTTGAGTTATAGCTATAGCCGTTTGTAATTTTAATCTTATATATATGGCATTACTGCAGCCGGAGCAGCTGACCAAAATTTTCGAGCTTTGTGGCACCCCTGACGAGTTAATCTGGCCTGGTGTCACTAAGATGCCATGGTACAACAACTTCAAGCCTCCCCGAGTATTGAAGAGAAAAGTTAAAGATGCCTTTAAACAGTGGGTGCTATGCTTGGCATTGTTATGTTGTGTAGCTTTTTATTATGTCGCTGGTGCTCACATTTTTATGTGTTGCAGTTTTGACCGGCATGCTCTGGACCTGTTGGAGAGGATGTTAACTTTAGATCCATCTCAGGTATAAAATGACAAATTTGGCAAGTTTGGCAATCAGATGCTTATTTCCTTTTCTTTCTTTGGGCCTGTGTATGATAAAAGTTTATCAAATTTGGCAAGTTTTGCAATCAAATGCTTAATTCCTTTTCTTTCTTTTGGCCTGTGTATGATAAAAGTTTATCATTCTTTGCTTTTCACTCAACAAATTCACTCTTAAATTGTTTAGAGGATACCAGCGAAGGAGGCACTTGATGCAGAGTATTTCTGGACTGATCCCTTGCCATGTGATCCGAAAAGGTACGTTCTGATCACTGTTTTTATTATACTGCCAAGTAATTTCCTTTCTAATAACTTCGTGAGCTAAGTTATGTCATGACCATTAAATGTCTGATGATACAGTTTGCCGTCATACGAAGCATCACACGAATTCCAGACTAAGAAAAAACGTCAGCAGCAGAGGCAAGCAGAGGAAGCTGCAAAGCGCCAAAAAATAAATCATCCTCCCCCACATTCTCGCTTGCCTCCGATCCAGCATCCAGGCCAATCGCACCAGATCAGGCCTGGCCATGCGCCACCTGTGGCAGGTGGCCCGAGCCACTATGCAAAACCTCGAGGACCTGGAGGGCCTAACAGGTACCCGCAAGGTGGAAACCAAGGCGCAGGCTATAATAACCCGAACCGCGGAGGGCAGGGCAGCGGCTACGGGAGCGCCCCGTATCCTCAGCAAGGCAGAGGACCTCCTCCGTTCCCTGCAGCAAGTGGTCCACGTGGTAGTGCTGGCAGTGGATATGGAGTCGGCGGGCCAAATTACCCACCAGGTGGTCCGCCATATGGCACGTCTGGTCCAGGTCGAGGAGGCCCGAACTATCCTCAAGGCGGTTCTCGCAATCAGCAGCAGTATGGTAGCTGGCAATAATATTTGTCATGTCGTGATGACACGCCCCTCCAGTTGGAGTATTTTTTATTTATAGAATGTTTGCTGTTCAAATTCTGCTTTCTGTGATTGTTGCGCAACAGCTCTTAAGGTACGTCCTTTATGATTCAAGCTGTATTTTATCAATGTATAAACTGAGATTGTAGCAGAACAGGCTATTTAAGTGTGTCGTTTATGATTCAATTTGTATGTTATGAATACACGAAATGTATAATCACCTTATGATTCATGCTGTATGTTATGAATGTATGACCATTAATGAAATGTTCTTGTAGGATGCAAGTCTGAAAAGAGAAGTTTGCTATCAATTACTCTTCTCTGTTAGTACCCTTGCTCAATGTATCTGCAACATGCATATAAATACTTGCTTCTTTGGAGCTTAATCACAAGAATCATATAAACACTTTGCTTCTTAGGATCAACGACAAAGACAAGTGAGGCGGACGAGTCGACGACTGAACCAAAAAAACTGTAATTGTTGAAAAGATTGCTTCTAATAAGTTCTAGCATGTTAGCCAAAATCTTGTTACATGAGAAACACTAGTAACAGGGTCAAATTTATGGGAAAATGGCTTCAACAAATGCCTCTGCATCAAAAGGTTGGAGATCTTCCACCCCTTCGCCGACACCAACAAACTTGACTGGAATTCCAAGTTCGTCTACGACACTCACCTGAGACAGGATTCAGGTCAGCAAATTTAGTTGCTGTTTATTTAAGATCCAGGACTGGAATTTGTAACTATTATAAGAAAGGACTGGAAATCGTGCCCGTACCACGCAGCCACCACGAGCAGTCCCGTCTAACTTTGTCAGGATGAATCCTGTGATTCCAACAACCTGGTATGAAGCCAAGAAAGTCCCTTAGTATCATATCCAATAGAAACATAGCCGATGAATCAAGTAAGTAACAGCAGAGTGGCAATTACATCGTTGAACTCCTTCGCTTGCTGTAGCATATTTAATCCAGTTGTGCCATCCAGAACCAGCAAGATCTCCTGAAGAGAACAATAAAAGTTATGGCACACGACTGAACAAGCAAAACACAAAATATTGATGAGATCTGTTTGTGCACTACTGAACTTGCTAGGTAGTTACTATGCAAAAAATGTTGAACTAATAATATGTCATAAAGTTAAAATATTTTTTTAATATAAATACAACGTACATTAGGAGCACCAGGCAGGGCTTTAGCTATGACTTTCTTGCAAGAAACCAACTCTTCCATCAGACCGTAATTTGTATGAAGTCCTGTAAGATTATTGCTACAGAACAATTAATTTCCCAGACAAGCAAAGAAGTAAATATATTATGCTCCAATCTGTAACAACAACCGTACGTCCTGACGTATCACACAGCACAACATCAAATCCTTCACGCTTCCCACGTTTTACTGCCTGTGAAAGAACTACCAAGCGAGTCAAATTAGACGAAACATAAGAGTTGGGCTCATTATGACAAAATAATACTTATTCAATCACGCTTGCCAGACCAGAAGTTCACACCTGATGGAGCCTGTGCCTTCTTATCGTTGTCGATAACAATCTCTGAGCCAGTCCTCTCAGCCCAAATTTCTAGCTGGTCACGAGCTGCTGCTCGGAAGGTATCACCTGCTGCCATCAATACCTATATTATCGTTGAAAGCAAGAACATAAGCTCTCTAATTTTACAACAATGTGCTAAAGCAGGGGATGTGAAGTAAATGGCCTCACCTTGGCTCCTTCATTCTTAAATCTGTAGGCAAGTTTTCCTGCAAATATTGTAGATAACAGGCTAGATAAATTAGCCACTTCATAGCATCAGTTCGACAAATAAGAAAAGATAAAAAATAGTGTGCTATAACACATCTGTTTAGCTCCATAGTGACCACATAAACCAGAAAAGCTATACCCAACCCTACCTCACATTCTAACTTTCTGCAGTTGAAAGGCATAAACAGTTTTTCCCTGAGTTGTTTGAATTAGACCTCTTGTATAGCACATCCTACATTGGCATTATAAATTTACTGCAAGAAAATAATAAAACCTTCTTCCATTTAGCAGTTCTCTTTTGATTATAACTATTTAGCTCATTGTCGGAACTAACACTGCGGAATCAAGCAGAGGAATGCAGAGGTTATGTGAGTGAATTCATACAAGCAGGATAAGCAATTCTTCATGGCACTCGAACCATTCGAGGGGCAACAATTTATTTACACTGCAGCTCCAAAGTGCTAAATCACTAGAACCTATATCATTCCTTCCTGCTGCAAACAAAGTCTACACTAAATGCAAGCGAGAACCAAGAATACAGCAAAGCATGCCGAGAAGTACCTAGCGATGTCGTTTTGCCGCCTCCGTTCACGCCCACAATCATGATAACCGCCGGCTTCCTGCCAAAACGACCAAGCACACTCAGACCTCCCAAAATTCAGACACCACTCAACAATGGCAACTAGTGGCCACTGGCTTCAGTCAGTCCAGCAGAGGGCAGGCAGAACCTGAAGCCGAGCTGCAGCTCAGTCTTGCTGCCCTTGGTCGTGAGCAGCTCGAGGATGCATCTTTTCAGCGACGCCTGTGCCACAATGAACAACAGATTAGACCACGAAACCAATCTCGTTGTGCTCCACTGTAACTGACTGAGACTGAATCGATCACCTTTATCTCGGTCCCGGACTTGAGCTTGCCGTCGCGGATCTGGTCGCGGAGGGTGTCGACGATCCGGAACGAGATCTTGGGCCCGAAGTCCGACACCAGAAGCGCCTGCGCGCCAAGAAACATCGGTCAGAGGGAGAAATGGAGCAGCAGCGGTACCGCCGAAGAGTCGGTGTTCAGGGAGGACCTCCTCGAGGTCGTCGAGGACGCGGTCGGTGTCGGCGAGGTTCCAGTAGGTGAGGAGCTCGTCGACGACGGAGAGGGTCTCGCGGGTCTTGGAGAAGCCGGAGAAGAGCTTGTCGACGTCGCTCTTGGCCTTCTCCTTGATGAGGCGGCCGAGGCGGGTGAAGAAGCCGGCCTGCCCGGCGGTGGCCGCGCAGCGGAGACGGCCGGAGGGGGCGCGCAGGGAGGCGGAGGCGGCGGTGTACGGCGGCGAGAGGAAGGGGAGGACGCGGGAGGGTGCCGACGCCATTCTTGGGCGCTGGCTGGCTGCGGATACCGGCGAAGCGATGGGTGGTGGGAGAGGATAGAGCTGAGCTGGCCCGCGCAAAACTGGCGTCCCTTTTCCGCCGCAAAATGGCTCCTTTTTGGATTATGGAAAGTCGTGGGGTCAAACTAGGAATTGCATCTATTTTTCTTTCAACGGAGTCAAAATACTTGCCTCATCGATAATTAAGCAGGAGAAAATTGACCAGTTAGTTAGCGGAAAATCGGGCGAAAACCAAGAATTGCAACTAATGATTTAGGTGTGTTTGATATTTTTAAGTCAGACTTACAAATATTTAGGTTTTGATGAAGCGGCAATGTTGCATCTGAGGGTGATGTGGGCTGATGGAGCTATTGTGTTCGACAGAAGTCTCATGGCTCCAATTCCGTCTTGATGGACCTTGGGAGCTTTTGTCCTCGTTGTTTTACACGGGCGACATATTGGTTATTTGTGTTGTCTGTCATTGTGGCTCTAAATGTTCATCATCAATGACAAAATCAACTTCTTCCATGGTCCCTTCTTTGGAGACTTTATGAGCAAGGTTGTTGGATTGATGTGGCCATACTAACATGACTAGCTGCCTAGACCGGGAGATTCCTACCAATATGTTTGGCGTGATTGTCAATCTTTGCCGCATGCCATGGTTCACTATTACGGCAATTCAAAGATGTTTGATCCTCTATAACTATTTGTATGTACTTTGGTAGTTGGATTTCTCAATGGTCCATACATCGGTAAGAGGTACGGTGGCACAATAACGACAAGTTCAACGATGGCTTCGACAATTATTTTGAAGCTTATAGTCGTATTTATAATCTCTTCTTTTGTTTAAAATAATCATGTATCTGTGGGTTCGGTTCCCACATTATTTAGTTTTATCCGATGCTTTGTTGACATATTAGGATCTTGCAAAAAAAAAACAGGCTTGATTAAAAATTAATCTTAGATTGTCATGGACTAAAAATGGTAATTTTGAGATGAATAAGAGTAAATCCATTATAGACCCCACCTACCCTTGTACAAATCCTTATTTGCAAGCCAAAGTCGTGTGGTGGTTTGGGACTGCTGAACCTTGATAAAATTTTGACTTCCTTTCTTCTTAGATGGTTTTGTTCAAATGGAAGGACCCTGTTAAGCCTTGGATCAGTTTGGGACCCCCTACGATGCCAATGATCATGAGTTCATGACCTCTTTCACGGAGGCCACAAAGGTTACTATTGGGGATGGTAACAAAGGCCACCTTTTGGGATTCTCCATGGCTTGATGGGTTCGACCGAGAGACATGACGCCAAATAGAAATTAAAGAGCAACTAATTGATGAACGCTCATTCGGACCCCAAGGATTACTTGGGGTGGGCTGCGAGCGCGCCACTTGGTGCGCTCTTAGCCGCCACCATGTGTCGCGCTATGGGTGTTTTCTTTGGATTTTGTTATTTTAATTTTTTCACACGCGTTTTCGGCTTTTTAGATGATTTTTTCTGGTTTTTTCGGCTTTTCGCTTTTAACCGATCTTACTTATTTTTCCACCAATCTTTCTAAGTTTTCCACCGGTCTTTTTTAGTTTTTTTTTCAAAAAGTGTGAAAAAGCATGTTTTTTTGCTTTCCCGAGTCTCGAAACGAAAAAAGCGTTTCTTTTCCTTCTGTGAGAGGCCCGGTTTTGCTTAAAGAAACATGTGTTTTCTCTTTTATTTCCCTTCCATGAGAGACACAATTTTGCTTCCGCGAGAGGCATGGCCATGCCTCTCAGAAACGGAAAAAACATGTTTTTCTTTATTTTTCTTCCATGAGAGGCACAGATTTGCTTCGGCGAGAGGTACGGCCGTGCCTCTCGAAAACGGCTTTCGGAAAGGGAAAAAAGTGCTCCCGGTTCGTTTTTTGTCTATTTTTTAAAGTTCGTCAAAACCTATCAACATGTGATCTAGTTTTGAAGATCTCGACGCTAGGAATCCAACAATGAAAACGGTTCAAGATTTGGACGCATGATTTAAGAGATAAAACACTTTGAATAAACGTATTTACGTAAAAAAGAAAAAACTCCCAGACAGTGTGCCACTTGTCATAACTTGAAGAGGATGGAAGTGATATTTGAAAGGAGTGCTCATCAACTAGTGATTTCCTAAGAATTGCCTATTTGATGCTTATAGCACCGGTTATAGGCTTGTGATAGAACACACACACCCTTTCATCCCACGTCGTAGGTAATGGGCTGGCCCATATAGGGGGTTGTGGTTTGGTTTTGTGGAAAGCTTCCACAAGCCAGTTTTGTGAAGCTTCTAGAAGCTTTTGATCGGTTTCCCCCTGTGTTTTATGTTTAATTTCTTTTATTTTTAAATCAGTGATTTTTTCAAATGCATGATCTTTTTTCAAATCCATGATAGTTTTCCAAATTCATGAACTTTTACAATCCATGAACATTTTTAAATCAGTGAACTTTTTTTATCAAATTTGTGAACTTTTTAAAAATTCATGAATATTTTCTGATTTTACACTTTTTTGTTCAAAAAAAAGGCTAACGAGCGACCGAGTAAGCAACCTGGGCGATCGAAAAAATACTAGTGAGTGACCGAGAGCAGGAGACCTGGCGACTGAGCAACTGAGGCACTATTGGGCCTCGAACCATCTAGCCCCGGGCGAGTGCTAGGATGAGATCGGGCGCCAAAGGTGCTGCGGAGGAGCTCTCTTACTATACCACGACAGAAAAAAGATTGCACGTTGTATAAGTATAAGGCCATGCATCACGATCTTTGGGTTATCCAAATTGACATCCGTCGTGGCATATATCTTGATCACATTCGTGAATTTGTCGCCCTGTGAGAAAAGCTTGGAGACACCCATCTCACTTGTCACTCATGGCATGTAGGACACAATTGCTTGGAAATGCACTAATGAAGGGAACTACTCTGACGTCCTAGGCTTATAAGATGCAGTTCACAGGCCTCACTACTGTTAACAATAATACTTTAGAGTTAAGATAACTAGGATCTGGATCTCTTGATTAGAACACCCCTCAAGAAGAATAGTGGTTACTAACTGTGATTATCTTGATCCATTAATAGGATAGCCCCTGGCTCCACCTTAGCATCTCCAGCAGTGAGAAGATCGTCGGGAGGAAAGGGCATCAGCAGGCGATGTAGCAGGCACGAAGGATGCCGCCGGCACGGACCTGGAGGTGGCCGGCGGTGGTGGTGGTCTTCTGATCCCCTTAAGCACCCTTTCAGGATCGGCTGTTAGGAGTAACCGGGTGCTAACCCGTACGTGTGTTTCACCCCAAGGGGGTACGACCTCCTCATTTTGTAAGTGGTGCGAAGGGGACAGGGACCAAAACCAAAAGTTGGGTCAATGCCCCCGATCAGGGCATGTACTGGGGATGCAAATCCTCCCCTTCTTTGTCTCAGTTTGTTATAACCGTAGATCAATTCCAACATTCTCCCCCTTGATCGTATGGTTAATAAACATCATAAGACCACACTCGATAGAAATAACACACCAAAATAAAGTGTTGCAATGACCAATGAGATGCCACTGAACCTCTTTACCTATAGTACATCACTCTATCTCGAAATGGAAAACATAATACTTTTTGGGAGTTGGTTTATAAGATGGTCCTAATTTCCAGTATCAAAAAGCTTTCCTAACCCATGCCGGCAACATAATCATGAGTATGGGTGGTGAGCCTCTTTGGTAAACGGATCCGTAATACATACAAATCATTTTTATATGCTTAACATCATTAGCTTGATCCTGGATTCTATCTTTCACAACATGATACATATTGTCAATGGTTTTGGCAACACCATTTGACTTGTTGTTACTCGCATAGAAAACTGCATGTTCATAATGCAGTAGGTGGTTTTTATAAATGTTGTCTACCACCTTAATTTCGGGAATAGAACTTCTTTGACATACAACCCGCCCAATAGCCTCTTAACGTGCCACATCGTAAATTGTATTATTTCTAATGCCATCAATGTCATTATGGAGCATTTCCACGATATAGCTCCATATGCGAGAGTGAGGATGTAACATAACGTGGAAACTTTAATATCCACACACCTCGCAGAAACAATGTCTGAATAACCAAGGATATTGAGGTTATCAGACTTGTTAGTAGTGAGCATGTAAACTTTTATTGCCTTGCATATCTACAAGACTTTTCACGGCTTCTCCGGTTGTCCATTTCTGGACTTGTATATTTGCCAATTATCCCGGTCATAAATAGGGCAAGTTGATATTTGAATGCTTGCATTGCTTCTGACAACTGAAGCATAAGGAACTAACATTACCTGATCAGTTCATAATGGTTCCTTGGACACTAAACTGTCCACCTTTATTGCCCTTGAATTTAGTAGCAGGTGCGATAGAGTACGTACTACCATGTAATATTTTCTTCCGTACTCTATCAATGATGTCATCATAATAAAACTTATACTCCTTTTGAACCTATATCTTGGCGAAACTCAATAGAAGCAAAGTATGAGGCATCACCAAGATCCTTCATGTTACAAATAGAAGATAGAAATTACTTGGCTCGCCAAAATATTCTATCTCCACAAGGTAGTGACCTTACTCCCCCTCGTCTTATGGTATGGATGTCCCAACACTTGTATTATCTCATAATTGTATTTCTTTAGATAACATGCCTTATGTCAACTTCACCCATGACAAAACCGTACAGTTGAGTCATACATACATTATCAACTAAGTCAACACAAGAGCATGTCATAGTAATAACACAAACGTCACAACAACTCACCGAGGAATTCTATGGAGTTCCATACATCATTAGGGCTCATAATCTTCATCCTATATGGCAACAAGCCACTAAGATGATCATTCACACACATTATCTATCGTAGGGAAATTGTTGAGTCTCAACAATAAGTATTGCATTAGAGAAAAATAAATTCCCCTCAATTTACCTGATGCATATGAACAAAGATCTAATGAAGTTATCCTTAAGATTAATGTTCATACGCTCCAGGTTC